GCCGCTCTAATTTCCTTGATTGTTGTTGTTATGCCAATTCCCTTGCCTTCGTTGTTAGAATTCCAATTGCCTTGATTGTTTTGGGGTCGCCATTATTGTTGGTTTGGGCCTTGGAAGTTGTTTCGTTGCCCTTGAAAGTTGTTCACATATTGCACCTCCTCTTCTTGGTCATTGTAAGAATCATCTTGATCAAAACCACTATCCTCTTGCACAAAATTGTCCACTCGATGTTTCACTTGTGGACCCTTGGTTCTCCTCTTGTTCACCATCATGTTCAACCCCTCTATGGCATTGAATTTCTTAGGATATTGCACTTGTTGAAGTTGAGCCTTCGCTAATTGAATTATGGTGGTAGTCAATTCAGAAATGGCTTGTCCATGGTCATACAACTCTTTGTGAAGGTGGATCACGTTGGGATCACCTTGTGGAGCATTAGCCCGAGATTTCCACGCCGATGATGTTTCTGTTATTTCATCTAAAATCTCACACTCCTCCGCATAAGGCGTAGTCATGGAGTTCCCACCGTCAAATTGATTCACTACACATTGGTTGGTTGTGTTGATCCCACGATAGAAAGTTTATTGAATCATATTCTTCATCATATCGTTGTTGGGACATTCCTTAACCATTGTTTTATAGCGTTTCCATATCTCGTATAGTTGTTCATTTGGCTCTTGCTTGAATGCAAAAATCTCATTCTGAAGTGTAGCCATGTTCCCAGAGAAAAGAACTTAGAAATAAACTTTTCCGATAACTCATCCCAAGAGTGAATGGAATGGTTCGGAAAACGTTCCAACCAATCTAAAGCTTTCTCCCGTAAAGAGAAGGGAAAAATCCTTAGCCTCATTGCATCCCCGGAGACATTTGTTTGTTTGCTCCCCCAACAAGTATCCAAAAACCCCTTCAAATGTTTGTATGCTTTTTGACTTGGAGCACCGGTGAAGAAACCTCGTTGCTCTAGCAAAGTGAGCATCACATTGGTGATTTGAAAGTCACCCGCCCAAATACGGGGAGAGACTATTGCACTTGCATATCCTTCATTGGGTAACACCCGGTGTAGAGCCGCTCGTGGTGGAGGTTGGGGTGGAACTGGGACATTGTCATGAGGCACTCGGCCTCTTCTATTGGCTTGAGGTTCAAGAGGAACCTCATCAACTTGATCATCCTCGACATTCACATCTCCCAAAGCAATATTTTCGAGCTCATTGTTCGCCATGGTTGTACCTACGATTTCTCAAACAAGTTAGTAATACGGAAGAAAAATAAGATACTCTAAAAACACACCTAAATATATAGCTAACACCATTTTTAACTCTCCGGCAACGGCGCCAAAAATTGATCACGCCTAAATCACACCTCAAAAGAGGTATGAAACGGCCGCTTGCAATAATAGAAACCCAACTAAGAGTCGGGGTCGAATCCACAGGGAGCTAAGATAGGAGTTAGGGGTATATATTTCAATGTGAGTGGGTGGATTATCAAGATTGCACTTCCACAATAAGGATTGTTTTCTATTTTTACTCTATTGATTGCAAAATAAAGGAAGAAGACTAGAAAAATTTATTTTTAAGGTTTTTACAAATGGATAAAAAGCCTAGGGCTGTGATCACTAGGTGTTTGCCTAATGGGTTAAAGACTTTAATTCTTGTTTCGTTGATTGGGGTGTATTATAGCTATCAACTCTAATTTACCCACTCAGTACCTCTCGGTCAGAGAGTGGTTTTGCCCAATTTGGCTTTCTCAAGACCAAATGGGTATCACCCAAAACAGTTGATAAGAGCTCAGGTCGGGTTATTACTATCTCTAGGTTGAACCCTTTAATTGGGTTAATCAATCTCTCAATTGACCCAATTCCTTGTTAGCTAAGTTATCATAGACTAAATCTCTCTTTCTCAAATATAGACTAAGTCAAATAGGCATGACCTAATATTTGCAATCATTAATTCCACAATTTAAGCATGAACTAAGCTAAATAATAAATACTTAGTCATAAAAAAGCACTAAATTAGATATCTATAAGGTTTACACACTAGGGTTGGGTCACAACCCTAGTAGAAATCTAGCTACTCATAATTGGGTTTGAAGAAAATAGAGAAGAAAGACTAATTAAAATCATAATAAAAGCTTCAAATGATTAAATCTATTGTAAATACACCAAAAAAAAGTAAAACTTCCTAAAATAGCAAAGAAAAACGGCTACAGTAATTTCAGAGGTTCAAACTTGACCTAATTTTGTGAAACTCGTTTATTTATATAAGGCTAAAAATTTCGGACAAAAATACCTCTCGGGAGGTTTTGCGGCCGCACAATTCCTTGTGCAGTCCGCAGATTTCTTCATCTGGAAGGAGCTAAAGTTCTGCAGCCGTACATTTTTGAACTGCGGCCGCAAGACAACTTTTCTGCAGACCGCACATTAAGAACTACAACCGCAAGACACTCTTCTGCGGTCCGCAATATTAGGATTGCGGCCGCACAAATCATGTGCGGTCCGCAATTCACTGAGGTTTTGGACTTGGTCATTTTGCATACTCTCTGATCTTGGCCTTAGCCCATCTTTTGCGGCCACAAAATTTATGTGCGGTCCGCGATTTGCACAATTGTCTACTAATTTTTCCTTCTTTGTTTGCGGCCGCAGATAGAATTTTGCGGACCGTACATTGTGTGCTTCTGTGCCCTTTATTGTCTTGTGCTTAGACTGCTCCTTTTTTAGTCGGATTTCATTTCGGGAGCCCAACTCTCAGCATTCCTGCAATTTTGCACAACTTCATTAGTTTCGGAAATACAATTCAATGCTTTTAGACTAAAACAAAAGCTAAAAGGCGCTAATAAGTAGTCAAAATCCCCACTTATCAATGACCAAGCCTGATTTTAGATTGAACAGTGATCTCATCCTCGATTGGACCCTCGGTTCGAGCCCAATCGTGAATGAAGAACATAACAAGTGAGTAAAGTTCTTAACGGTAACTGGAAGGTAAAAATAAACTTTTATTGCATTGAATTGCGTCTTACAATGGTCAGACTAAAGAAATTTTTTTCCTTTATATAATAGGAGAGGTTCAGTCATAGTATAATCTAAAAAAGGTAAAAATCTTCCTTTCTCGATAATTGTTCATCCATAATCGACATCGAGCGAAATTCGCGCATTGATATCCGGTTGAGGGCGAGTATTACGACCCTCTATCCATCATGCATAACCGTTCACCGTGTCTCCCGAGATCTAGAACTTACACTCGACCCGGGCGCGTCGCTTTACCATGTCCGATATATCGTTCACTCTTCCTGGGTCTCGATACGAGGGGTCTCTGACCTCGATTACAATCTCTTGGATCCATGTTCCTCCTTCGTTCTTTCTTCGGGGGATCGGGTTGATACTGCCCCTGATTTTACCCGTATACAACTGTAATTCAGTCCGACAATTTAAGCTGACTAATAAAAAGACTGAAGAACAATCCAAGAAAAGAAAATCAAACATAGAATGAGAAATCACTTTATGTAAAAGATAGAATGTCTTAGATCCCATTCGTTTATTTAGTAAAATTGTAGATGTCCGAAACATAAATAAATATCACTATTGAAATACTATTTATAAGTCCAAAAATTGGAATTAATTTAGATTACTTATTTTTTTCAGCATAACTTATACTATTTACTTTAATAAAAATTGTAAAACTCAAACAAATACCAACAGTAAGATATTACATCCATCAAATAAAGAAAAATAAATCCCAATTTACCTTAGGTGAAGCGTTGAAGTGACGATCAACTTGTGTTTTGAAATTCAAGATTAGCATTTTCATCGCTTTTAATTTTTGTGATATAGATTTTAATCAACTTGACAAGATTACCATATGTTGTGCTTTATCTCCACTTTCTCCTTGCCTCCCCACACAAACAACTCCAACATATATATGTTTTCTTCTTGTCAAATTTATTTTTCTAAGGAAATCTCCTCATTGGTTCAAAAAGGATAAGCACATCATCATAATCTTGTATTCTCTCTCATCACTTTTTCCTCGTCTGTTTCTTTTTTGTTTTTCTTATTTACACCCTTCAATTAATAATTAAAAAATATTTTTAACGCTCCTAAAAATAATAGTTGATAAAATATTATATTTAATATATAAATTTATATTCTTTTTGGCTAGTAAATATAATTAGTTTCGACCGACCAATTAATTTTATATTATGCCCTTAATATTATTTGTCTTTCGGAATTTTTGTTTATCTTATAAAAAAGGTATTGATTCATTTTAATCATAAGGACAATTTATCTAGGCTATCCAATATCCTTTATTTCTACTTAAACCTCCTATTTAATTAATACTCTACTAATTGATAAAATAAGAGTGGATTTAAGAATAATAATAACAAAAGGCTTCTTCTTTCTTTAAAAAATAAAATAAAAACGTATCAGATATTTTGAAATAAATTGAGCTTGAATAAAAATTTAGACATGTCCTTGAAATTACCATTCCGTGTGTAATAATCCTACTAGTCTCTCACCCTTAGCAATTAATAATTAAACATCTTTGTTTATTAATTTTTCAGTTCATTTTTACTTGTCTAATATACTAAAAATATATTTTTATTTTTACTTGTCAACTATATTAAACCAAGAGAAAGACAATCTTTTTTTTTTCTTCTTGTTTTACCCTTATTATTAACTATTTATTGCTCAAATCATTTTTCAAAATTTTTGGAAATGCTATCATTATTATGGAAAAAATTATAAAATATATACTTCATTTTTTTTTTATAGGAAGTGCAAAATCAAAAGTGGACAATTAAAAGTGAACTGTACTATTTAATACTTTGATTATATTAGTGGTGGTTTGTGCGTTTTAGATCAATAATGCCTACTTTAACTTGCACGCATGTTATCCGTTTCTTACGTACCATCTCGAAGGTCTTAATCCACTTCTGTACGGATAATTAATTTATTAATTGTGTTAAATAAGTTTTAGGTTAATCCCAAAGTGTCTCCATATCATTGACCAAAGAGAATATGTATAAAGATTATTAGAGATTTATAATGCTATTATATTATGACCACTAACTGAGGTTTATGTGTCAGTGGTTTGGACCACATTTTTATAGTGATTAGGAAGACGAAATTGCCAAATCGACAGTGACATGTTGATAAATACCTATTCAAATAATTTAAGATTTATTACAGTATAAGAAATTAGGTTAGAGAAATCATGAGATTTAATCATAATCAATGGCACATCAAGGTTAGATCATGATTTGTTTTCCTTGTTTGATTGGTTGACTAAGTATTTCAATATCATTAGATATATTTGAAAAACCATTAGTTGGACCATCGAAGAATTTTTTGCAACTAATCATCTCAATTACATTAAATGGAACTCTTTAAACAATGACTTGGTGGAGGGGTGAAAGAGGTGGGGTGGGCGGATTCTAGGGAAGCTTAGAACCACATGACTTCTCCTTGTCTAAAAAGTAATTTTCTTTCAAGAGAAAAACTAAAAACAGCTTCTATTTCTCAAAAATAGTTTCCTTTTATTTAAAAATACTTTTTTTTTCTCAAAGTTTTGCAACACCCCAATTTTAGGAAAATGACATTTTTTAAAGAAAAAAAATATTTTTGACCACAAAGAAGTTTGAATAGGCCAAATACATCGATAACCCCCTAAAGTTGAGACCACTTTCCACTTTACTACTTATTCTTTAGTCCTTTCCATTTAAATACTTTAACCAACCCTTTAGTGCCACTTAAACACTAAAATCCCAGGAGGCACTTCGCGTGTGAATCACATATAATGAGCGCGTGAATGTAAAAATATAGTCTAACTAGACTATTCTAATGGTAAAAATCCTAAACCCCACGTTATATTAACCTCTTTTTCCTTTCTTCTTCTTCTTCTCCAAGCCCTAATTCCTCTTCTTCAATCCGAATTTCACTGGAAAATTTGATTTTTTTTTTTGCAATTTGAAAGACACCCCGTCCTCCTTCGATTTCAGTTGAAGCTTTCTACACATCTTCTCTCTCTCAGTTTGTTGCTTGACAATGTCTGAAAATTCAGAGAGGATTTATTCGTGCCGATGTAGTCGGGTATGTGTATTGAAAATCTCATGGAGTTTGGCAAACCCAGGCAAAAGGTATTTTATTTTGTATGCAAAAATGGCGTAGTAAGGATATATTTCGATAATCTTTTCTGTTTCTTTGATCTTAATATTGGTACGAATTTGTAGTTTTTAAAATTGATTTAGTTGGATATGTTTTAAAGGACAAAGGAGGATGTAACTACTTCAGATGGTTTAAGGAGGCATTTCTTGACCAAGCAAATAAAGTTATTTGGGTTTTGTTGAAGAGAGTCAAGACCTTTGATCAAGAAAGGGAACGAGCTAGACAATTGAGGAATAAGTTATTTTTTGTTGTTCTACTAATTGTCGTAATTATTTGAATGTGTTGTTGTTCTTGCGATTGTTGATGCCAACATAATTTGAAAGTGGCTGAAGGTGGTTGATAGTGTAAAAATAGGGATGGTTGTTAGTGTTTGAGAGTTTTATGGTAGTTGTTGCCTTCTGTTGTTTGGATGTTGTTTGTGTAATTTATGTAACAAGTTGTTGTAGGATGTTTACAACATATTTAGCTGTTGATATATTTTACAACATTTGAATCATATTTTGGTCGAATAGGTTCTAAAAAATAGTTGTTGTAATTCTCATTTGGTGCCTATTGATTCTAGTGTTTAGGTAATGCAACCAAATGGTAAGAAATTGGTAACACACTGGGATTGTGTAATCCAAATATCACAAAAATTTGAACAGAAAATCAAGATATAACCTGCTCACAACCTGTTATAGAAGCTGTAAACAACTTGTAAGACACATTTTGTAATCATAGATAACGACTTCAAACATAATAACAAAAGGGAATAAAATCAGATAATCCAAATAGATTCTACAAATGTAAAAAAGTGCAGCACATTACAAGTAGTCAAACCATAATAGAAAAATGAGGTTCAACAAACTATAGTAGGTTCTTGGCAAGTCACTGAAAACTACTTGTGGCAATTCAAGTCACTATAGAATCCATATTGCTATTACAGTATAAATTGCTGCAAACTAAAGACTGTCAACTACAAAATCCAAGTCACTGAAACTATTTCTTGGCAAATTTATCCATGATCACTTGAGTTACAACTTTTTGTGGTGGTTGTTTATTTGTGGGTTGTCCAACTGTGTTTCTTTGACTTTTACTCATTTGCTGAAGTTGGAAAGTAGTAATTGCATCTCCTCCATTCCATCTTAGTCCCGGTAGTCTAATTTCATCACTTGGCTGTACATTTATAATACTACTCAACCTACTCCTATGGTTGATAACCCTTTCACCAGTAGTATTAGGCTGAAAATGTATAAAGTCTGTAATATCAGATAGGGAAAGTCAAAGAGTAATAGAACTAAATTTCTGAATTGTACTTACATTCAGGATTCTTCTTCCAGTCTTTGAATTAGAGTAGCATCCAAATCCAACATATCTTAGCCTTTTTTGTCCAACAACAGGTAAAGATCCAGTTGAAGATCCCCTTTTTACACCAGTTGAAGTTCCTCTTCCTTTTGGTATTGTACCCTTTCCTCTAGGAGCAGTTTGAGGAATAGCATCTGGGAATACATCCCTGGTAGGCCTAATTGTTGTACTACTTGCCTTTCATCTACCCCTTCCCTTTCCCCTTCCTCCAGTAGTTGTACTTGTTTGGGTACCATTGCCAGTTCCTCCGGTCACTACACTTGTTTGGATACCATTGCCACTTCCTCTAGTCACTACACTTGTTTGGATACCATTGCCACTTCCTCTAGTCACTACACTTATTTGGGTACCATTGTCACTTTCCCCTGCAGTTGCACCAGTTGGTGTAGCATTGCCCCTTCCTCTACCCCTTCCACCAGTAGCTGAAGATTCTCTAGGGCCACTCTAAAATAAATAAAGTGCAGTGAACATGTAGTGAAGTCATAGAAATGCAGTAAGTTACAGAAAATACAATGAAGTTCAAGAAAAAGCAGTGAAGTTAACATGCAGTGAGATTTCAAGAAAATGCAGTGAAGTTCATACCCTTGTAGGACATCCTTTATTTGTTGTGGCAAAGTTGATGACATTGTGAACAAGTTATTTTAACTCCTTTTTTGGACAACTTGCCCCACTTTTTTGCTGGTTCATTCTTAGTCTTTCTTCTATTCTTTTGGGGTCTGCCTGGCATTGGCTTTGGTGCTGGTGGTTCAATTGGAGGATTGTTACTCAATGACCGCATTTCTAAGTTCGGAATTGGCTGAATGAAGTGCCCATAAACCTGTAGAAATTTATCCTTTATGTACTAGTGCTACACATGTTCATCTCGATCCTGTTGCAAGTAATAATATGCACACACTACATGTTTACATGGGATGCCTCTCAACTTCCACAACCTACAAATGCAAGTCTTGAATGCAGTATTTACTACAAACCTTACCTCTTTCTATTTGATTTCAAATCCATCCTGTCCGTTCCATATAACTGTGCACTGTCTAGCGAACTTCGTGTTCTCTTCTTATATTAGCCTAGCCATAGGTGATATATCTGAAATCCATGTCTCAGCAAACCTAGTCATATCAACATGTCTAGCCATGATCTTATGCCTAATTTCTTCTAGCATGGTAATAGTACTCTTGTGCCTAGCAGCCAATATCCATGAATTAAAAGTCTCACACGTGTTATTCTCTACTATGTCACACCTGGAATGCTCTTGGAAGAAAGCCCTGCATCATGCCTCCCTTGGATACTTCATCATATATTCACATATATTCTGTGAGCCAAGTCTCCTCCTGTTCTCAATTTCTTTTTTGTATCTAAACACATAGCTTGCCTTTGAAA